GCACGATAACACTGTGACATTTTAAAAATTGCTGAACATATTCCTAGCGCAATGGAACCTTAGTCATATTAGCCTTATTTTCTCCAGCTTTCCAAGAGCATCTTTAGAGCAGTCGGTTATCAAGAAATTACCAATGATCTGGCAGGAAGAATAGGAAGTATCTACCAAATTTGATAACTGAGAATTATCTATATGAATTCAATTGTTTGATGCCAGGGGCTGTTGCGCCACCTGGATTTTATATTCAATAAAACTGCATGTATGTATGGGGACAAGAACATTTACCCAGAAGATGACTAAGACATGTCATATAATAACAGTTCCTAAAATCTTTTCTCAAATTTCTAACCAATTTGTCCCACTCAGCAGAATGGGAAATTGCATTCCATAAGCTTTGACCTCAGAGGCAAACCTCAGTACAACTGGTTCTTGCAGCATTCAATCCAGGAAACTCTTCATCCTTCCTGGGGATGGAACCCAGGACTTTAAACAGCTACATTCCCAGGGTTTTTTTGTTTGTTTATTTGTTTGTTTGTTTGTTTTAATTTGAGACAGAGTCTTGTTAAGTTGCCTGGGGGTAGTCTCAAACTTGAGTAGCAAAGATTGCAGACATTGCTACCAGTATTCTGCCTTGCTCTAGAGATCTCTTGGCTAAGCCAAAGGAGGAAACAGGAACCCAGCAGGGAAAGTGAGTGGGATGTTTTGGGTCTCTAGAAAGGGTAGCAGGAAGGCTGGGGTATGCGGAAAGGGGAACACAAACAAAATGGGGAGTTCTGCAGAGAGGTGACTGATCAGTCAAGAGTAGTACCTCATTTTCCTTAGTGCATGCCAACAGCTGTCCACAAACAACCCTCTTCTTGGAGAAATTGGGTTCTCCAGGTTTCCTCCACCATCATACCATGTGTCTGCAAAGTGTGCTGAGTATGGAGGCATTGCTGTGGAGCTGGGAGACCTTCCCACAGGGAGCTGTCCCTCCCTTTCCCCCACACAAACCTCCCACAAGGCCACTTCTGCAAGAGACTAGACCTCTGCTCTGTGACCAGCTTCCCAAAGCACTGAGACAAAAGACACCCATCCTAACCTTTGACCTCTGAGGAGAAGTGAGCTAGGTGACGAGTAATGAAGAGTCTCAACTGCTGGTTCAAGTCAAAAGATGATAAGTCAATGTTCCAGGAGAGAATCCCTGTGAGGAAAGAAAGAAAGAGGATTCTAGATGAAGTCGGGACCCTGGGACTGCAGGGAGCACTTTGAAGCTCACAGAAGGGGGAAGGAGGAGGAGATAAGGACAGCTGTCATGAGCAGTATCAGTTATGTCTTTAAGAAGGATGTCTAGGACTTGTCTACCTCTTACTCTGAGTCTTTTCTCTTGCCTGAGCAGGGGAGAAAAGGATAGAGTTGAAACTAAACTTATTAATAATGAGTTTGTTGGTAGCAATTTTCTTGCAAGGTCACCCACCCAGTTGGGGTAGAAGTGACACCCCAGGGCCTCGTCTCAGATACTTTGGGCTGCGTTCAGCTGGTTCCTACAGTTATGATTCTAGATTCTCCTCTCTGCCCCGATCCTGGCCTCCACCCTTCCGCGGCTTGCTTCCACCCGCAGGTGGCTCCGCAGCACTGCGCCACAGGCACAGGGGAAGGTGAGGACTAAGAAACTGGAGCCACGAAGGTCACTCTCTCCAGCTGGCTGCCAGCGTTCAGAGATTTGAGATTTGTACCATCCATTCAAAAAGCACCCTGTGCAGTTTCAGAAACCTAAAGAAGAAACTGTAAGGTAGGGACATGGACTCTCCAGGGAATGATGAGGACTTTCAGGACATCTGAAGAAGGGCAGTGCAGAAACCCTGGGGGACAGAGGAGTAACCAGAGCAGCCCCAGGTTCTTTCCCGCCGAGCTGCTGCTCTTTTCGGGGAGACTGCGGAACACCATGGGGATGCGGGAAGAGTGGGGAGGCAGGGGTAAGCGGCGGGAGGATGGGGACACGTGGTGAAGATACAGGTGACGGGACGGAGGGTGCAGAGGCGCGGGCTAGGAGGTAAATGCAGATGGCAGAGAGGCACGGGACTTAGGTGCTGCGGTGCAGCAGTCAGCGGCTCACCTTGCTCTAGGTGGGCCCGTACGGCCCTCAGCTGACTCTCGGTCCCGATGTCACCGATCACAATGAGCAAAGAGTGTTTCCTTGGGTCCCAGCGCGCCGCTGCCTGTGAGGATCGAGTCTCGCACCGCAGCTCGGCTGGGTTCTGAGGCGGCGGAGAGCCCGGGCCTCGGAGCCCTAGCTCCAGAGCCGTCTCCATGGTAACGCCGCTAGGCCGCCCGGGCCCAGCTTCTGTCTCCATGGAAACCGCGGCGAAGTGCGGAGACAGCGGCATCCGCAGCAAGGAGAGCAGGCGGCTCTTAAAGGCCGCGGTGGGGGCCGCTCATTGGTCGCTGCCCGCCAGGAGGAGGGGCCGGAGCGGCAAAGGGCGGGACCAGGGCGGCAAGGGGCGGGGCCGGAGGGCGGGTGGCGGGGCTCCGCAGTCCTCTGCCGGCTGGGGCTGCGTTAGGCCCCAGCTTCCGGGGAGCACCTGCTCCGCCGGCCAGAGCTGCTTCTCCACGCAGTCTGCGTCCCCGAGAGGCTCCGTCTGGGGGCTCCACGGCTTCACAGGCTGGGGAGCCATCTTGTCCCCGATTGTGTGTGTGCCTGAGCATCCGTGTGGCACTATCCTTTTTTCCTCTATCATTGGCCCCCAAGGTCCTGTCCCCCTCGGTGTCCCTGCCCTTGCCCCAAGCTCTAGTGCGCTCTGGGAGGCTGCGCAGTCGCAGAGGGGAATGACGGGCGCAGACGCTGGAGTATAATTCCGCAGACATTGGCTGGCTCCTCTCCATCCCTGTGAGCGCAGTGAGCACAAACCGCAGCAAGGGGCACAGCGTCCCGATGGCCGATGGCCGCGGCTGGCAAGGCGATGGGCGAGTTGCAAACCCTAGGAAGCTGTCAAAGCAGAGCCTAGGAATCCTGACAACAGAGGCCCCGGGTCTGAGCCAGGAAGAAGTGACAGTTCCAGAATAGGAGAGGAAGAGGATGGGAGAGAACCGAGAAGGCCCGGTGGCGCTGAAAGTCCTTGAATCCCCCCCCCCCCCCCCCCACGCGCCCCCCCCCCTTTTTTTTTTTTTTTTTGTATTTAGTACAGACCCTACAGGCCCTCACTGCAAGGGTGACCCAGGGCTCCGGCGGTCCTAGAGGGACAGCAGTGCTGCCAAGCTGTCCTCTGCTCTCAGGGCACCCCCCCCGCCCCCACAGTGTCTCCACCCCTGCCCTGCGCTCCAGCATCTTCTCCCCAGGTCGCCGCCTAGTCACTCTGCATGTGCTTGTGGCAGAGGGAAAGCTTGTCCTCACGCTGGTTGGCTCTTCAGTAGGCCTTGTTTGGTGACCAGTTATTTTGCATTTGGGGATGGCACAAAGTAGAAAGGACCACTGTGCGTGATTCAGCAAGGCTGCTCAGGCTCACATTCTGACTGTCAGTGTGTGCAGGTGAAGTAACTCAGAGCAGTCCTGGTCCATGTGATGCAACATGTGTTGTAGCAAAACATCCGGTCCATTC